CAAGTGTTTTTTGTTTGTATTTTTAGGTCAACCTGGAGACTAGTATTATTCTTCTCCCCTTCATTTTAAATCCATGTGAAGGCAGTACATAGATCAGCAAACTAATCAGAATGTTAGAGCTACAGGACATTAGTTTGTTTACTGCCATCTTTAGCAGGGTGTGGGGGGTGTGTACAGGCTCAGAAAGAAGAAACCTAAGGTGTTGGAAGAAAGAAAGGAAGGCCAATAGGAACTAACATTGTCAGGAAACTGCTGTGTGTCAGGTACTGTGCTAAGAGTTTTGTTTTTATTACCTTGATTCTTAAGCATCTGAAGCTAAGGAATGGAAAGATCAAAAGGCAAGTTAATCTTATTAACCTGAACATATGTAGGCGGTACACAGGAATGGCAAATCATTTTTTCCTATATAACCCCACAAGGTTAAACTAGAGGAAGTGAAGAATCCGGTTTGAGAGTGAGGTTAATTTAAGGAAGTATTCACTAAATGATTGAAAGATTCTTGAATAACTTCTCTGTTCCTAGAGACCATCCAAAAAAATGTAATGGTCGGAGTAGGCTAGAGGCAGGGCTGGAAGATTACTATTGGCTTTTGGATAGATTTGCATTCTAATAAATTAGGTCATGACCTGAGAATATAGGATTAATCTTAGAAATAGGAACAAAATGGGACTTCTCATCCTAAGTAAGGGGACTTCAAAGAAAATAGTGTTAGGTACTGAGAATCAAGGAGATAAGCAAATTCTTCTGGTGGCTATGCTTTTTTTTTTTTGGTTTGTTTTGCAATACACTTTGAAGTCATGAAACAATTTGTAACTCTGGAAAGACTGAGTGCCAAGTTTAATATCGGTAGGGGAAGATGACAGCTGAAAATTGATGTTGAGAATAAGATTTTATTCCTTGTAGTTGTTTGGTATATATCCCAAGAGTTATACCAGGGGCGCTGTTTCAGTGGGGAACAGTAATTCATTAGCTGAGTCGCGTCCGGAGTACAGGGCAACTTCTGGGGGGAATTAGGGAAGGGCCCCATCTTTAGGAACTTTTGGGTCTAGAGTGAGATAAATTTCAAACCTGGGAATGGTATTTATTAAGTCAGGTTATAAAATAAGTTAGTAACAGGGGAGCCAAAGTAAAGGAATAATCAGAAAAATTTTGAGTTAACCAGAAAAGACTTTTTGAAGGTAATGAAGATAGGGAACATGCAACAGAAGAAAGTGATTAGAGAGGGGACATTTATGGAAGGTTTATGTGTGTTTTGTGCAGAGGGCTGTGAATGGACTAGTCAGAGTGTTACTGGGAAGGAATGTTAGGGAATGAAGTCAGAGGAGCAATCTTGTTGGCCAAATGAAGAATTTAAATTTGATTTGGTAAGCACTAACAGCAGAGCATGGTAAGATGAATATGATGTTGAAGACTTTTGCAGCTGTATTGCGTGAAGGAAGCAGGGAAGCTTGCTTAGGATATCATTTTTCTGGTTTAGATGTGAAGCCCTGAGGGCCTGCACTAGAGTTAAGACTGAAATGAGAAGAAAGAAAGTGAGTGCATAGGAATTAGCAAGGCTTGATCATTTGGATGTGAGGGGAGGGATAAAAGCCTGAAGATGATGATCCCAGGACATATTTATGCTGTTGATGGTGATGAGAGCTTGGAAAGTGGTAGCTGCTTTTTTATTAAGAAGTAGGAAATGTTTCTTAACCACTTGATGGGATATGTCTATGTTCAGTATTGCAGAGTCTGCCCCATGGAAAATAGTTATGCATGTGATGTGTGCCTGGGGGGGTCACCCTCACTCTACCCTTTTCAGATTGGAAATCAGGTAAAACAGAGTTGCTGGGATGTGTCATAGACTTGAAGAGTGCTATCTACTCCAAATCTGGGAAAGGAAATAGTTGTTTTTTCCAGTTTCTTTCCCTTTCATGCTTTGAAAATGGGATATGACTAGCCTATGGCAGCATGTGCCTGTGGATGCAGAATTCTCTGGCTTGATTCTTGGAAGGCCTTTTTCTGTCCTTCCCTGGGGGTCATTTGTATCTCTGGTTCCTGCTCCCAGAGTCATAAAGTGGGAGCCCCCATTTATTAATTGGGTTGGGACTGGGGAGGGGGTCGGCGGGGGACTCTTTAGTGCGGCAGGCAGGGGTCTTCCCGAATGAGCCCATTAGCCAGCCCCAATGGCAGCTGAAATGGGGCTGCAGCCAAGTCCTCTTCGTTTCAAAAACCCTCCATCGCCTGCAGCAGATCAGAACAAGGCCTGCGGGAGCCCTTAGCTTCTGATTGCAGCTGTGAGGAAGGACAAAACAATTTATAGGAAGCCAAGTAGCTCCTGTCTCACTCTCTTCCTTTCTGACTTTGGGGAGGGGAAAGAGTGGGTTGTGGTGTTTGCTCCCACCATAGCTTCTTACAAGGCATATGTGGCCTAGAGTAGGAGAAGACAAGAGTGAGTGTGTGTGCGTGCTTTGATTGGACATTTATGGTGATGCTCTGAATCTGTTTACACATGTCCACATACAGTTGTATTAGATAAGCAGCCACTACTTATAGGGGCTCTCTAGGGCAAAGCCAAATGTGTGCTCAGACTCTTAAACAGTTTAGGGTGTGTATTGTGAGGGGGCATGCTTATTATACTCTTTCCTGCACATTACCTGCCTTGCCTCCTATCTGCTTTATCAATATTCATGGTTAGAGTTAGATCACCATCTTAATATTCTTCATCATAGGAGGAATTTGACACCTAAAAGAAGGCTTCCTAACTCACTTGTTTGTCCCTTAATTCAGCTAGCATGAGGAAGACAGGAATCTGCAAGGGAGCTTCTTACTGCATTGGCCTAGAAGAGAAGGTTCTCAGGGAGGAATGTCTCACTTCCTGATGGAAAGACACTAGTGTCTTCTCCCTTATAGAATTATAAATGGCCAGAGCTAGAAAGAGACCCTAGAGATCACCTAACTCAGCCTCTCAGTTTACAGAGCAGGAAACCAAGTTCTTAGGGAAGTGCCTTGCCCACAGTTTCACAGTGAGGTAGCTAGTGGCATCGGGCCAAGGTTGGAATCCAAGAGGCCAAAATGCTAACCAGAATTTTAGTCTGAGTATAGAGCCCCCAACTTTCAGATCACTGATTTCTGAGAGCCATGAGCTTCCTTAGGAAAGGAAGGTAGGGCTGTGAGATTTTGAGGGGGGAGGGACAGATTGAGGGGGAAAAGGTAAATATGAAAATATTGGTAGAAAAAAACTTGAGAAAAGCCTTTATATATTTTTACTTCAAAGACTAACTTTTCAATGACCTCCATATTATACAAGTGTTATTTTTATTTAGAGTCAAGGGTTCTGATTCCTTGGAAAGCAAGTGACAGTCATGGGTAAAAATCCTAATGCTGTCAGAGTTACCCCAAAGTTCAAGGAACACTTTGCCACCATCTCTGGGGGTGCGATAGTCAGAAGACCCTCAGAGGCAATGTGAGGAATTTACCCTACATCTCAATTCAGGCTTCTTTGTATTATACAATACAGCTGTACTAAAAAACAAAATCAGAAGGACGAGAGAAACAAAACACATCTCACCTGCTGGAAAACTAAGGGGAGTCACTGAATGAGAGGAGGAGGAATTATAGAACTTCACGTAAAACGAGATATTCTCTGAGATTAAAGGGAAATTGGGGGTGGGGAACTACTCCCCTGCACCCCCCCCCCTTTTTTTGGGGGGGGGGTAGTTCTGAGTTGTTGATTCTCTCCTTTGATGGGGCAGAAGGAAGGTGGAGTGGTGCTCCATAGTGACCTAAGCCCTAAATAGTGTACCCAGTGGGCTGGCTGGCTCAGCAGGTTCTAAAGTCATCTTACTCTGGTGCTCAGATTCCCTTCCCCTCTTTGGACCTCCCCCAGATGTATCTACAAGTAGCTTCCCATACTTATGCATATGCGCCTGGGAGCCGCTGGTGATCAGAGAGGGAATGCTGAAGAGTCCCTAAGCTGGAAGCAGAATCTTGGAGGGAGAAAGGCACCACTCAGCTGCCTAGAGATAGAGTTATGGGTTCAGGTCAGAGGGGTAGCGGATCTGCAAAATGAACATTGTCTGCTGATGACAAAGAAATAGATCCTAGCACAAAGCCTTCATGTTTTCTCCATCTCACCCTAACTGACAGCATAGGAGGAACAGGGAGTTGGTCCCCATACATATTTGTCTTTATCTAGGGCAGCAGTTTCCAACCGGTGTGCTGCAAACATGCAATGCCTGACTGTTTAATCAAGGATACTGACCTCTTTGCTCTTAGATTATAAAATTAAAAAAAAAAAAAAAAAAGCCAACACAACAATAGCTGTTTGATGTGAATGAATCAACATTATACCGCTTTTTTGGGTCAGATTGGCAAAGGATGTATTTTTTGGTATGCTAAAGAATTTTAGTATTAATAAATAGTTTATGTGTGCCAGGAGATGAAAAGGCTTAAAAATCGCTGACCAGAGAATGAATGTATGATGGACCTACGTGCTCAAATTCCATCATGTCTGCTGTCCTGCAAACATCTTTTCTGTCTCATTGGACCTTTTCTTTTTTGCCTTCGGGCCCTTCTTGAAGAAGCTGTTTTGGACAAAAGGAGCCTTGAGTTCAAGCTGATGATCTGATCTAAAACTAAATGGCCTCCTCCAGTCACCTTCTTGCATTAACTTTGCTTTCACCTTGAACCTTTATTGCCCTTTATAATTCTGAGTTTCACAGCTTCTATTTCTATTGAATCCTTAACTTAAATATAGGAACCATGGTTTTTGTTTTATCAGACTGAGCACTGGTTCCCTGGAGGTAGGACTCTTAGGACAGTTAAAACTCTGGGAACATACTTAAGGTTCATGAATCCTTCTGGGCTTCCTGTTTAGGTTGAAGGGAATTAGAATAATGGTGACTGTCACCATCACTGTTAACCTCCTAAGGCCAACCTCCTGGTAAAAGACCAGAGACCTTCTTTGGTGTCCAGTCCCTTGTCTCATGTCTAATATAACCTGTCATTTTCTTTTGCAGGTGGCAGTAGCAGCAGGAGGGATGGCCCCTGAGGAATTTGGCGAAGCCCATCAGTCACGTGATATCCGAAGCCCTGGCAAATTCAATGTCTTTCACAGACTCAAGCCAGGTAGGGATCTAAGGTCAATCAGAGGCCACAGGCCTGTTTTTGTAAGGGTCTAACACACACACAACACACACACACACATACACACACACACACACACACACACACACACACACACACACACACACATTTTCTTACTCCCAAAGATTTTCGGAGCTTTTTGTTTGACCCTATTACGGTATCCTACCTCTGATTAACAATTTCTCCCTCCTGGATAGAGTAGGTAACCCCCTTTATTAGCATCAGCAGTCATTTCATTCCCATTCTTTCCTCACGGCCAGCTGTGCTAATGGATATTTCTCTATGGTGGGATGCTGATGTCAGTTACTCTCAGCCTCTCCTCTGTAACACCTGCTCCACTCACCCACCACCTCATGCGCACACATAGCCCTGCTTTCTTTTCCCCAATAAGCTATTTTCTCTCCCTTTATTCCAAGACAGGATAGGGCAGTGCTGTCCATTCTTACTGCATCTCATCAGCTTCTCCACCTCCTTCCAGGTTAGATGGGAGATCACCTATCCAAACACTGTGCTAGACACTAGGAGAGGCCTACAGGCTGCTTCTCTCCATCCTCAATGCCCAGAACTGGGCAGGTCACCAGCCTCCAGTCCTCACCTCCACCTTCCTGCTGCCAGGTAGGTGTGCTCCTCTCCCTGCCCCCCAACCCCAAACAGGGTCATGTTTCTCCCATATTTCTCTCTATTGTCCAATATCTTCAATGAGAGGAAGCCTTTAGTGACTCAATTCTCTGCCTAATCTTCAGTGAGAACTTCCTGTTAAGTCTCCTTCCCCTTTCTGTAGTTCAGAACCATTTTTCCCATTTAGTGGGTGTGGGAAGAAGTGGCTAGTAAAGACAGTATTTGACACTGGAAAGGAAAAGTCCACTTGGGATTAGAAGTCTGAAGCTCCAGATGTGCATTCTTCCCAGTGGCCTGGCATTCTTAGAAGGTATCTGGATCCTTTGGAGGAAAGTGTTTTATCTGGTGTCCATTCCAGAGGGCAAGGATCTCGGCCTCTGAGGAGTCTGTATTCATCCTTACACCTCCCCAGGGAGTGGAGAATGGATTGCTGTAAGGCAGAACCCACCACTAGGTGATACTCTGTCTTGACCTCAGATGGCAGCTCTTGTCTGGCACTGTAGAATTGACAGGTGCCAGAGCCTCTCCTGCCATTGGAGGTAATATCAGTTTACCCTTTTGACCGTAGGCCTCCTCTCTCAGCAGTGCCTCTTTCACACTTGCAATCCAGGCAACACAGGCAGCAGGCTTAGACAAGTGCCAGTTCTGGGTAAGGTGCGCCCTCTCCTTGAGTTGGAGTTAGGATGGGGTGGATGGAGGAATAGGGCATGCTCCTGGGTAAAAAGACCAGAGACCCTCTGGTTAGAAAGCAGGAAATGCTCCCAGGAAGTGGTCAAGCAGTAAATATGCATGAGGTACCTTGATGGCACAGAGAACACTAACATTTATAACACTGCCCACCAATCTGTCTATCTGGCTGATGCCCCAAAGCTGTTGGGCCAATTGGGCAGCTGCAGTCTTGGTTTCTGCCACACGAGGGTGCTGCTGACCAATTAAATCTCCTGCCCCTTAGCAGATAGGATTTGGGCAACAGTGGGTACCCTTTCTCCAACACAGAGGTCAGAAAGGCCCCAAGAGGGCCTGAGAATGGGACCTAAGAAACCAAAAGAATTCTAAGTACCACTTGTTCTTCCTTAAAAATGGCCTGAGACCTTGAACACTGCCCTAGTGACCTGATTCTCAGTACATTCCCAGCTGAACTTGGGAAGCCCCCCTAGCTATAGGCGCTGAACAACTTGCATAGGTCCTTCTCTCCCTCAGAGTGTAGTATCCACTAGCCGTCCACTCCACTGTCTCCCTGCTTCTAAGACAGTCACTTTTTAGCTCGGAGGGTGGGGCTACCTGTGCTTTTCAGAGAGAAAAAAAAATTCTTACAATTGTTTTAAGAGAAGTAGCTTTGTTAGTGAGAGAGCGTTGGTGAGAGGACCTAGAAGACAGACAGTGGGAAAGTTCAGCCTTCTGTGCCCCCAGCACAAACCTCAAGATGGTCTGATAGTCATTTGCAGCCTGAGTGGGTGGAGGATACCGCAGGACACCCCAGGGCTCTGGGCCAGAAAAGATGTCAGAAAGCAGGATGGGGAAGGAGGCTGCTTTGGCCCATGAGCCTCATACTGACCTCACACCATGTAATGGCTCTGCTAGGGATTCAAGGGGCCGTGGAGTCCTTAGGGGGAGGAGGCACCACACAATTGCGCCTCAGTCTCTATGAGCCCTTCCAGGCTGAACAGGCTAAGGGAGATGACAGAGGTTCTGCTCCTCCCTCCTACCCCCATGCCCGAGGGCCCCTCCCCAGGAGGACAGCTTGATTAAACAGTCGGTGCTGCTGGAATTACTGCACAGCTGGCGCTCCCCCCAGCACCCCGAGCAGAGCAGCAGCGCAGATTAAAATCTCCAATTAGCGTTAAAGTGAAGTGAGGAGGTACTGAGGCTGCCAAGGAGGCCAGGCGGGGGCCCTGAGTCGGCAAACCACCCCCATTCCTGCCTGGATTCTGAGTGCCACCCTCAGTTGTCCCTTCTTTCCTAGCTCCTCTCCCAACAGCTCTTGGTGCCCGTTAGCTTTGCATTGCCTGGAGCCAGAAGACTTGACCAGGAAGCAGGTGTGTGTGTGTGTGTGTGTGTGTGTGTGTGTGTAGTGGGGGGGCAGGGGTACATGCTGACAAAATGCTGAGGACATAATAAGTGTGGAAGAGAATGAGAGTTATCACTGCTCCTCGAGGGAGATACCCTACTCACAGCCTGCCAGGTAGCCAGGTCAAGGTGCCTTCCCAATACTGCTGTTTCTTTCTGCCTAGAGAAAGGGCAAACAAAACAAGTCTTTTCAGACCCTCTTACCTTATAAAGTGCTGGGGGATGTAGTCCCAACACAGTTATTCATCCTTGTATATTTTATCCTATCTGACCCATTTGCTCCTATCCAAATTATGGCTCCTTCCTCCCTCCCTCCCTCCATTCTTCTCTCAGTTTTCCTGTGGGCAGGGGTAGGCACAGCCTGGCTTGGGAACATTGCCATGCCCTGCCACCTGGGTCCCAGTTGCCTCTTCTTTTCTTTGCAATGTCGGAAAGAGCAGTGATATGCCAAGAATGGAGGCCTCAGACTCTCCCAACCTCTGAACATCACACCCCCACCTAAGGGCCCTCTATCATTTACACTTCTGCCCTTCATACACTCAGCCCAGAAGGAGGGCAGCACAGCTAGCGATGCCCTTTGACTTCCCTCTGCCCCTTTAAGGGAAATGGAAGTGGGTACCCAGCTGACTGAACCTACTCACACCTTCAGAAATTAGACATCAGGGCACAGTGCCACCCTCCCAGGCTGGCACATGCTACCCTGGCAGAGGTTCAAATAGTACCCCCCCCCACTGCCATACCCCCACTCCTATGTCTTCCTCTTCTCTCTCCCTCGTTCTTCTCTCTCTCTCTTTTTTTCTCAGCTCAAAGCACAGCTGAGCCTTAAAGGGGGGTGAGGGGGGACCAAGCTGGGGCAAGAGGGATGGAGAGCTCCAATAGCACGTTTTCACCTGCCATTTAATTGGATGTATTTTTAATTAATGGGACCTCAGGGACCAACATGAGACAATCTGATCTCTGAATAGGGACAGGGGAGGGATCGGGTAAGGGAGGAGGATTGGGCCACTGGGTGCGGTTACCGGGAACCCAGGCCCATCAATCACTGGCCACTTTGCGTTCTGGCATGGAGAATAGTGAGGTGGAGGAAGAGGGGAGGCACTGAGGAGCGCCAGGATTTACCCCCAACTGCCAGGAGCTTCAAAAAGGATGGAACTGTACTGGTTGACTCAGGCCTGGGGCCCAAAATTGCAGCCAGAATATTAGGTAAGGCTGTTTTCTTGCTCCCAGGATTTGTCCCAGTGAGTGCTATAACATGAAGTGAAAGGAAGGTGGGGACAGAACTTTGAAGATAGGACAAGAGTTAGGGGCCATAGAGCCAGAGACTGTGGTGAGAGAGAGGATAAGGGCAGGGTTCAGAGATATTTCTGTACGTTTAGACATGAAATAAGTGCCATGGAGATTACATGCAAAACAGCATGCAAATGAGGTCTGTGCCTTTGGGGTATGAATCATAGTACCTTACTGTTGCAAGGAAGAGAACTTGGAGCTCATCTTGCTGAACTCTTCATTGTATAGTGGTGGAAACAGAGCCAGAGATGGGAAATCAGTTGAATCCTGTCCTGGTGTTTTGTGTTCCTGGATTTGGAGAGTTTCTGGGAACACGGGGAAAGGTAGGGTGTGGGGAGGAAAGTCAAAGGAGGAGTGTCAGCAGGATATCACTCTCTACTGCTTGGAGTCTCTTGTCTCTGGCCCCTGGGTCTTGGAAGCAACTCAGGGGAGTAAGGCAGGTGCACTACTCGGGGACATTTCCCTTATCCAGCCTATCCCAAAGATTATCTTATGTGTCCCCTTGCTTCCAAGCAGACAGATCCCCTCCACCCCCACTTCCATGGGATTTCACCATATTTTATAAGGTCCACAGAGAAAGAAATGCACCAACTACCTCAGTTCCTTGACCTAGAAATAAATCCCTCAATGATGACTAAATATTGAGGGATTTTTTGTTTTGTTTGTTTTTGTTTTTTATCACAAGTTTCCCTGCTGCAATATGAGCTACTAGAGAAAATTAAGCTCCCCCCTCAAAAAAAAAAAAAAAAAAAAGTCCTGAGGAGTGGTCTTACACCTGTTATCCATGTCTAAGCTGAGAACAGAGATGGAAATGAAGCTGCGGGCTCTGAGGCTGTCAGAAATGCCCCTGCCCTGTATTCATGTGGCGCCACGGCCCCAGAGCTCTCAGCCGGGCCCATCTGGCTCTGTGTGGTGTTGGCCCCGTCCCCACCT